GTAACATATACTCTGGTAACTTTACTGGAAAGGTAAAATTATTTCCTGATGCATATGCATGTCCTTATGTTGTGTAGAAACTCAGAAAGTTTAAGCTAATTCCTCTCAAATTTGAATTTTTTTATGAATCTCAAAAAATTGGGCCAAAGTCCCTGTACTATAGTACAGGGATTTTGGCCATATTTTGCCAAAAATGAAAAGTAAAAAATTCCTCATTTTTATAACTTTTCAGATACATATACATGTTCTTATGTTGTATAGAAAGTTTGAGCTGATCCCGATGAAATTTGGATATTTTACAAATTTTTAAAGCTGCTCAAAAATTGAGCCAAAGTCCCTGTACTATTATAGTGCAGGGTAAACATTCATTAATTACTCAGGAATCCCCAGTTCTGCAGTTCAATTATTTGATTTTATTTGTAGATTTGGTTTTCTAATGTTCAGTGTAATGGATCTGAGTCTAGCATATTTGATTGTCCTCATCAACTCTCAGGAGACACTTGTACTTCAGCTAATGATGCCAGTGTCATTTGTACTAGTATGTTACATATTCAATTCATATTATTATTAATACACAATGTAACTTTGTATGTACATGTATAAATTAAGGCTTCCACAACTGCTTAAAATTGAAGATAATCAAGTAACTGATTAGCCACACAGGCTAAAAGCGATTAATCAATTTGTTGTTGTGCCTTAGTATAAATGTGTATACATACACATACATGTATATTCTGTGACTTTATCTCACCCTCTCTCTTTCACTAGATATTCCTATTAATCGGTATCCTGTTAGACTATCTGATGGTATTAATGATCACTCCGGTCGTGTGGAGATATTTTATAACAACGAGTGGGGGACCGTCTGTGATAATCATTGGACTATGAACGAAGCTAATGTCGTATGTAGAGAACTAGGATTCCCTGGTAAGAATTAATAGTAATTGAGTCTATTTTATACATAAATCACAATTTTTCTACTATTATAATTTGCAGGCTGCAATTTTAAATAAAATTTTTAATTTTTATTATTTGAAAGAATAGAGAGAGAGAGAGAGCTAATAGCTTTAATAGTTAACAAGTGCTTGTCTGATGTATCGCAACATTTATTTTAAAAAATCCCAGCTGGTATATTTCAATTACATTCCTTTCTTAATGATTGCAGGTGCTCAAGATGGCGGTGCTCTTGGTGGCTCTGTCAGTACTGCAGGTAACGGTCATATTTGGTTAAGCAAGATAAACTGTCAAGGAAACGAGTACTTCTTGCATCAGTGCAGCCATGATCCTTATGGCAATAACAGCTGCCAGCACGTGAATGATGCTAGAGTGATATGTAAAGGTATGATAATATTATTGGTTTTTTTTCAATTCAAATAATTTAACGGCCTTTGTGTTTAATGTTTTTGCAATGGTGAGTGTATTAATAATGTCCATTAATTTGAACAATTTTTTAGAACTATAAAGTAATCCATTGCACATTGACAATCATTTTCTTAATAGCTAATTTTCTCAATGTCACACTTCACGGTCCAACTCCATCAGCCGGTCGTGTCTCTATTAATTACAATGGGCAGGGTTGGGGTACCATTTGTGATACCTTTTGGAGCATAAAAGATGCTGATGTGGTCTGTCGTATGATTGGATATAAATCAGCTACTAATAATTACACCCACGCAATCCCTTATGGACAAGGTACACTGTGTACATATACATGCATGAATAGTGTTACCATATAGGGGTTATATTTCATGGAGATTTAATTTTACTAATTTCACGATTTTAAAAAATTTTTGAAAATTTTTATCTATGAGAATTATTTTTTATCATACTAATAATGGTTAGTAGAAGAAAAAACAAAAATTTTTTCTTTTGAATTGCTTGAAAGGTGATTTTTGTGAAATATTTCCCTGGAAAATATACCCCCTTACAGTATGTGCTATGTTATTTTATTATTATTATTATATACATAAACATTGGTTAATGTGATATCTGGATTTCCTACAAAGCATGCTAAGTGAGCTAACAAGCATGCTTTATGAGCTGACAAGCGCTACAATACAGCATATGGCAACTGGAGTAACTTAAAAATTCATAAAGAAATCCAAATTTGATTGGAGTCAGCTCAAACTTTTTATACAACATTTAAACATGTATATTTATTTTTAAAAATTAATTATAAAATGGAGAATTATTTATTTTCTTTTACTATTGTTATAGGTGCTGGTACTATTTGGTTGAATGACGTCATTTGTACTGGGACTGAGAATACATTGTTTGAGTGTTCTTATTCAGGATTCGGCATTCACAATTGTCATCACAATCATGATGTTGGAGTTTCCTGCTCTAGTATGTTAACAACACATAATTTAGTCAATAGACTATAATACACTAGCATAAATGTACTTGTTAAATTATTCTAAATCCTAATGCAAATTGACAATGTTAGATCTAGTTTAGGAGAACAATCTACCTAAAAATGAGAGACTTAAGCCCAACATACACTAGGCAACATGTTGCTTGAAACATTTGTGGTTACAAAGTTTCCTAGTGTATGGAGGCCTTTAAGGACACCTATGCTAAATAAGCTAGAATGGGATATTTCATGGGATCTATGCCAAATATGGGAGACCAAAAGTCTCCTAAACTCCCTCTTGATCT